TTGAAATGAGGGGGTCCTTCGTGCTTTCTGAGCCTGGTGGTTTTCTTGCAGATGTTTGATTACCCAAACTGGGTAACATCATCAGTACTAAATGTTAGCACTGATAATGTTATCTAGTTTGGACAATGAAACATCTGCAAGAAAACTATCAAGCTCGGAGAGCACCAAGGACCAGAGGTGGGTTTCAGCAGGTTCTGACCAGTTCTGGAGAACCAGTAGCGGGAATTTTGAGTAGTTCGGAGAACCGGTAGTAAAAATTCTGACTGGCCCTGCCCCCGTCTATTCTCTGCCTCCCAAGTCCCAGCTGATTTGGAGAAAATGGGGATTTTGCAGTAACCTTCCCCTGGATTGGGGAGGGAGTATTTTACACTATCATTCCCCTTCCATGCACACCAAGCCACGCCCACCAAGCAATGCCCACAGAACCGATTGTAAAAAAAAAATTGAAACCCACCACTGCCAAGGACCCCTCATTCAAAAGCTGTCAAATTTCTGGCAAGAGTCAACTATTTTTACCCCCCTCCCCAGTTCAACAACAGTCAGTAAGGGGAGGGGAAGAATAAAATATGAGCGAAAAAAGAAAGTAGCTGACCATGCAGAGTTTTGGCCTTTGGCTTCACATGTTACTAGTCTGGGGCCTGAAACTCCCAATACCTGGTCCCTGATGTATGATCCTGGGGGAACATGGTTGCTACAGGAAAGATTCAGTCCTGGCTTAATATAATCCATCTTTCTCAAAAGGATAATCAACATGTCTTTTTTCTAACTAAACCTCTCCAGACTATCAGCCTTATTCTCAGTCCTTTGCCTGTCACCTTCATTGGGCAGGGATGGAGCAACTGTCAGCCTCACTTACTTTGCCAGCCCAGGACTAACCTGAGCCAGCCTGCAAAACCAACTGAATGCAGCACAAACCAGCAAATTATGCTGGGCCCAAATGTAGCTGGAAACTCCGAAGGGTTCTCTATCATAGGCATAGGGCAGCTAACTTATGGGGAAGGAGGGAAATCAAAGGATCTTGAATTGCTTCCTTTGAAGGTGGCCAACTAGTCTGAATCCCAGCGCTTCTACTGAAGGGATCCCCGAGGCCGGGCCCTGATCCAGTGATTGTGATTTGCAAGCAGAAAGCAAGCAGTTCCTGATGAGTTTAGAAGGGGAAAAAACCAACAACTTCTGATGCTATGCTCCCATGTCTATGGAGATTCTCAGTCATCCAGGTCATGGTTGTCCCAAAGGGCTTAGTGGCTCAGCAGACTGATAGCATTGTGATTAACACCAGCTGTCTGCAATTACTGTAAGTTCGAATCTCACCAGGCTCAAGGTTGACTCAGCCTTCCATCCTTTCTAAGGCAGGTAAATTGAGGACCCAGTTTGTGGGGGCAATAAGCTGACTTTGTATAAATATACAAAAGTATGAAGGCTATTGCTTAACGCATTGTAAGCCGCCCTGAGTCTCCGGAGAAGGACGGCATATAAATCAAATTAAAAAAAAAGAGGTGTTTTTTCCAAGTGGCAACTGGACTTTCTGGTTTTTCTTTGAAGACCTTTGGCTTCTCAGCTGTGCTCCCATGTGTGCGCCCCACGGAGGGGAATTATTTCTGTATAAACGTCCAACTTTATTTATTTGTAGTCATTTTACACACACACACACATATTCTAGGCAAATAATGTGTTTACAGGATTGCGTCACGGGTTCCCACTTGTTCTTGGAAGTAGCCCTCGAGACACAGGGGTCGCTTCGCTCTCCCTAAATAGGAGAAAGCGCCGCCCACATCCACATTGCAAGTATAAAAGGAGGACGCTTTTCACCAAAAAAAAATTAAAAGCCTGCAGAGAATTTAGAGACTCGTCTCTTTGGGTCCCAAGTCCTATGCACTCCACCCTCCGGAAACTTAAGTCCGGAGAATTCAACGGGGGTTCCTTACGAAGAAATAATCAGGAGGTTTAAACCGCTCTCCAAACTACTTCCCCTGTTATCCGCTTTACAGCTCGGACTTTTCTAAAATCGTTTTTTAAAAATTCCTAATAGCGTCCTCGCTTTTTATCAGAAAAAAAATAAAATAAATGTCCTTTATCTTCTGTGCCTGAGGGGAGGGTATGTATGCACAGGATCGGCGCTGGGAATTTCTTCGTATGCCACTGTACTTCGGCATAATTCAGAGAGTAAGGCAGCTTTCCTTAAAACTTCTTATTCTTGGAATTAAGTCCCAGAGGGTTGGAATCATTTTTAAATCGACTGGCTCAGTCTCTGAGGACGTTTCTGAAGAGGCTCCTTCGAAGTCAACGGGCAGAAGGAAATAACTGGAAAAGTTCAGACTTTTGAGGCTTTGAGTCTGTTCTATTTCCTCTAGGTAGGGTAATCCAGAGGTCTCTAACCTTGGCAACTTTAAACCTGGCGGACTTCAACTCCCAGAATCACCTAGCTGGCTGGGGAATTCTGGGAGTTGAAGTCCGCCAGGCTTAAAGTTGCCAAGGTTGGAGACCCCTGGGTAATCCATACTAGCCTATATAGACCAATGCTGCTCAACCATGCTGGGAAATTCTCCCAGTTGAAGTCTACCCATCTTAAAACTCTGGAGGTTGTAAAACACTACCATGCAGTAGGCTACTCTTCGAAGGATTGGCAATTTAACTGGCAAATATTTGGGAGTGAGGTTATTTGCTACCTGTTGATAATCTGCATGAGTTTGTCTGGAATACAATTGTTTGGTCCATGGATAACCTGACTAAATATGGTACTAACTGGATCCTTAGTTTTGAACCCAGTAGATAAATTAAAAAGTTTTTAAATGTTTGAATAAAATATGAAAGTATTTGTTATGTAATTTAAATATTTTGGAGAGGAGGTTCTTTCATTTCACTATTGACTTCTGACCACTGCCTGGACTAGTCCTGGACAATTCTTGGTGACATTTTCAGTAGTGAACAGAATAGAATAACAGAGTTGGAAGGGACCTTGGAGGTCTTTTAGTCAAACCCCCTGCTCAGGCAGGAACCCCTATACCATTTCAGACAAATGGTTATCCAATCTCTTCTTAAAAACTTCGTGTTGGAGCATTCACAACTTCTGGAGGCAAGTTGTTCACTGGTTAATTGTTCTAACTGCCAGGAAATTTCTCCTTAGTTTTAAGTTGCTTCTCTCCTTGATTAGTTTCCATCATTGCTTCTTGTCCTGCCCTCAGGTGCTTTGGAGAATAGCTTGACTCACTCTTCTTTATGGCAACTCCTGAGATATTGGAACACTGCTGTCATGTCACCCCTAGTCCTCCTTTTCATTAAACTGGACATACCCAATTCCAGCAACAGTTCTTTATATGTTTTAGCCTCCAGTCCCCTAATCCCATTGTCTTCTCTCTGGAGCTGAGAGTGTGAGAGTTACCCCCAATTTACAAAGGTTTCTAGCACGATGTCTTAACCACTACATCAAACTGTCTAACGATAACTATTCTTTAAAACAAATCTTCAAAGTGCACATATAATTCATAATTTTTAAAATTTAAACAAATTGATGAATCCGTTCCTTGCTTATTGTTTAGACACAAAGTTAGGGCCAAACATTCCCACTGAATCCATAAAGCTGCATTAGGCTTTCTTTATATCATACACTTTGTCAGTCTGGTTGTATGAATTTGGACAATACACTGAATTCTAACTTAACTACATGGACTGGAGATGTACAACAGGATATGCTAAAATGGTTACAGTATGGTTGCAAACATAGCTTGGTGAACTCACTGGAATCATGGTCAGTACTGCAGATAGAGGTATCTGCAGGATGTTATCAAATGTTAAGGTGATGGCCAGGATGGAGCAATCGGTTCTTTATGTGGGTTGCAAGGTGGATACCCGATTGCAGAGTTCCAGCCATAATTTTGGGAGGCAGCAAGATCTAGTGGTCTGTTATCATCAAGGAAGCTGAAGAAGATGGCTTGTTTTGTTCTTCCTTGCCTCTGTAGAGCAATCTGACTTTTATCTGCAGTTCATCTTTAAAACAATGAATGAGAGGAGTTCATAGGGCTGAAAATCGAGTTGACCAGAAAATGGAAAATGGCAAGAGTTGTAATCCTATATATCTAGGGGGAAAAACCTGGCTGGAGAAAGGTGACGTTTTATTTTTTAACTTTTCAGTTTTCTTAGAGAGAAAAAAAGTTGTCTGTCCTTCAGATCCTATGCCTTGGAGGCATGGATAAAGCATCTTCAACATAAGGTGATGAGGACCATTCCATTCATGATAGATTCTACTTTCTTAGGTAAGTTTAAAATGATACCACAAACTCCACATGAGTTAACTACTTCTTAGTCTAGTGTGTTTTAATGTATGCAGCTCCTGAGGCTATGACATGGTTCAGTTGTGGTAACTGTGATGGCTGAATTACTTGACTAAATCACGATTCAATTAAGCAGAGATTACAGTGCTGTGTGAACACAGCCTCTAGTCTAGGAGCAGAATGTAGGTGGTGGTAATGAGACAAACCCAACTTTGCAACCCAACCAATAACTGGTTTCTTCAAACTGTTTTTTTTCTGTTGTAGTTAGCCAAGAGTCCCTGGAGAATAGGGCAAGTAAATTCAACATTAATATGCCTTTTAAAAAAGGCGGAAATCCTGCGTTTCTACGGTATTCCGATTATGTGTAGATAAACCCATTTTGCCACAGCACGATCAACAGCACTCAGGAGTGGATCTAAACTTTAGAAGGTTTAGAATAATTTTGTCACTTTAAATATACACTAATCGGCATAGATTAAAATGATTTTCTTTCCCCCCCACGTAATCCGGAAACTCGGGGACTAAAGGTCTCTTCAATAAACGACACAAAGTTTGGCAAGGCCACCTTGTCACCCAGGGCCGCCTGCAAATTCCGTCCGGGACGTCCCTTGGAAAAGTGCCTCTTTCCCAGCTGCTCGTTGCCCTTTGGGGGGAAAAAAAAAGGAAAAAAAAAAAAAAGGCAAAGGCCGATTTTATGAGCTGGGAGGGAGGCGTGTGCCGTGCGTGGAGGTTTCTTTGAAAAGTTTTACGGCGAAGAAAGAAGGGGAGGGGCGGGCGAGCGAGCGAGCGAGAGTTAATAATGTCTCGCTCAATTAATAAACATGGCAATTTCACACCCCAAAGAGAAGGCCATTATCCCCTCCCAAGCGCTTAGCGGCGCCGACACAAAAGGGGTCACGGCGCAGCTGCAGCAGCCCGGGTGCTATTAAGGAGGGAGGCTGCTGAGCGCAGCCCGCTTGCCATTCCCCAGCTCGTACCTCCAGGCGAAGTTTGGCTGCGGGCGCAGCCGGTGCCACCCCGTGATAAAGGGCTTACTCGGCACGGAACGGAGGGGCGAGGCTTCCCCGGAGAAAGCAATCGCCGGGCTCTGCCTCCCTCCCTCCCTCCCCAGCGCCGCTAATTCGTCGCCCGCCTTCTTTTGCTCCCTCCTTTTGATCGTTAGGAAGATATGAGAGACCGGGGAGGGTTTTTTTTTTTGTGGTGGCAAGAGAAAGGGCCCCTCCAAATAAAAGAATCGGGCGTAATCTCTTAAAGCGCGTTACGCTGGGAGGAAGTGTGCTCTCCTCTCCGCGATCGATTGCAGCCCGGCGGCCACCAAGACAAAGGGGTCACCTCCTCGAACCGCCTGCTTCTGTCCGGATGCTCTCTGAAAAGGTTGCAAGGGTAGCTCTCCCCGATCCCCAACCCAGGGCACGTTGGGACGGTTTGGTAGAGCTAAACTGGGATAGGAGCATGTGTGAGGAAGGAAAGAAGGAAGGAAGGAAGGAAGGAAGGAAGGAAGGAAGGAAGGAAGGAAGGAAGGAAAAAAAGGAAGGAAGAAAGGAAGGAAGAGAGGAAGAGATGAAGGAAAGAAGGGAGGAAGAGAGGAAGAGAAAAAGAAAGAAAAAGAAAGAAAGAGAAAGAAAGAAAAAGAAAGAAAAAGAAAGAAAGAAAGAGAGAGAGAGAGAGAAAGAAAGAAAGAGAAAGAAAGAAAGAAAGAAAGAAAGAAAGAAAGAAAGAAAGAAAGAGAAAGAAAAAAGGATTATGGGCTGAGTTGAGAAGGAGGTGATTCCACCATGTCAAAGCAGCTAACCTTCCTCCACAGTGCAGGAAAGTGTGAGTCTAGGAAATGAAGGTGTATATTTGATTAACTGGCTTGTAGCTCTTCCCTCATGGCATTTTTTTTTTTCTCTTTTAGATGCCTCAGAATCAACTGCAATCCTAGAAAGTGAATATCCAGCTTCCTGACAGCAAACATGGACTGAACTCAGTGGGATGTGGGTCTGAGTAGACAAGTTAACCAATTGTGTTGACTCCAGAGAAACTCAAAGAGGTCTTGGCTGGTTAATCTCTATCTCTCTAATACTAACCCTGAAAATGAAAAAAAAATCCTTTTTGTTTTACTGTGATGGAATCTATTTGAATGTATCTTTGGGTGTGTACAATGTGTATTTAGTTACTTGTTCAATATTCATAGTAAGCTTGTCTACTTAAAGCTGGATGATCAAGGAAATCTGCCTAGGACCTTATGTTCTGCATCTTTTTAATCGGGGATGGGCAACCTGTGATGCTTAAAATGGGAGACTCCAAGCCCCATGAGGCCCATCAGTGTTGTTCAGTGTTGAAAATTGAGGGAAATTCTTCCTTAAATCTACTGGATGCCCGTATGTTCATATATCCCCAGTATTTATTATGGGTTTCACTCGTATGCAGAAATCTCATGGACTAAGTTAATTGGAACTTACTTTCAAGTTGACACAAATAGGATGATCCTGTAAATACCTGATTAGTTTTAATGGTCCTTCAAATATGTCAGAATTAAATGGCAACTGAATTACTATTTTTTTTCCCCACAAGGATGTTGTCCTTGGCTTACTGGATGCCTTGGCTTTCCATGATGCACAGCTAAGTTCCTTTAATGAACAGTGTCCTAAACTCACCTCCCTTTGGTATAATATCAAGGTATACACCAGTGGCCCCCAATCTTTTGGGCACCAGGGACCAGTTCTGTAAATCCCCCCCCCCCGGAGGGTATGGTTTTGTGCACTATCTAGATCCCATACATGAGCAGATGAATCTTTGTTTGCTTGGGTAGCCAGGTTCCCAACACGGTTTGCCGGCCCTGGGAGTTGGGGACCTCTGGTATACACCTTTACAAAAATCCAAAGGCCAAAATGAGCACAAATGAATAAAGAAAACAATACAGTGAAACTTTGACAAAGATGGATTTATTGTAGCAGTGTAACTAAAAGATTCTACTGATCCCACCTGGACTCTGTCTATACCTCCCCAAGGGAGGTACATCTCACAGTCTGGGAAATGTGCTTTAATGGAGGGAGGTTAGTGCTGCACTGATAGAATTCAGTTATGTGTAAGCCGTATCAGGGGTGATCAGTAGCTGCGCAGCTTTGAAGCATAGAGACTACAGAGAGTCCTCGCTTACCGACCACTTGGTAAATGATTATAATGGTGCTGAAAAAAGGTGATTTATGATCAATCCTTGAAGTTGCAGCTGTCATCACATTATCGTGAGTTGGGCACTTGGCAACATTTATGACAATCACACCATCCCATGGTCTCTGTGTCAGAGAAGATCTGGATTCCAGAAACCTTTGCTTGATTTTTTACAACTTACACATTGCAGATAGTCCTTAACTTAACAACAGTTGTTTTTAGTGACCGAAGTTACAGTGGGACGGAAAATAATACTTATGGTCATTTTTCACACTTACGACTGCTGCAGCATCCCCATGGCCACATGATCAAAATTCAGATGCTTGGCAACTGGTTCATATTTATGACGGTTGCAGTGTCCTGGTGATCACCTTTTGCGACCTTTTGATAAGCAAAGTCAATGGGGGAAGCAGATTCATTTAATAACTGTGTTACTAGCTTTACAACTGCAGTGATTCACTTAACAAATGTGGCAAGAACAGTTGTAAAATGGGGCAAAACTCACTTAACAAATATCTTGCTTAGTGACAGAAACTTGGGGCTCAATTGTGGTAGTAAGTCGAGGACTACCTGTATAATAATAGGTCCAGACCTATAGTCTAGTAACCCCACTGTAAGGAACTCCCACTTTTCTGGGGGGAAATAAAAGAACGGTTATATAAATGACCTTCCACCAAGTACCAGTAGACCAGTACTTCTACCAGCACTAGTGATATATGAATACCAAGCAGGTAGGGCTGAAATGCTGTTTCATTCTGGCCTGCTTCCTTGCTGTGACAAGGCTAGATTTGCCCAAGCCTAAACTGCCTTAACAAATAAAGTCATTTTGTTGAAAATTGCTTTTAACCACTGCATCCAAACATCTTAGATAATATTTTCCGGAGCAGAAAATGGTTCAAACTTGACATTAAATAGTCCTAAACCTTACCGTTTCATTCCCTACTACTCCCGCTGCATTTAGGGCTCAAAGGAAATAGAGATCACAGGGTGAGGAGGGGGAGAAAGGAAAAAGGAAACGTAATTACATTTTAAGAAAGTAAACACCAGTGAGGCATTTTGATGGCCTAGCAATAAACATGGCCGACGACCAGAGTTGGAAATGAAGTTCCAGTAGGCGGGGCCTGACTCTTCCATCCCTCCCTCTGTTGACTCAGCATCTTCCCGAAATTATTTTGCCAAAATTATCCCCCCTTCCCGGTCAGTTTTTTAGAATCGGTTGAAGTTGACTTGTGTTACTGGCTTTACAATTGACATGGTTGTTTCTGAGTGTAGCATCATTAGAAGTTTGAACCGGGCTGCCCCTGGATTACAAGAGAAATAAATTGAGCAAGCAAAGGGAGGAAGTGTGCGGCATGTGCCCTCGCTTCCTATTGACATGCAAAAGAGGGAGGGCCCAGAAAAAGGAAAAGGAAGCACGCTCTTTGCCTTTTCTCCTACGCCCCGGGTTGGTTCAGCAGCCAGCCAGAGGAAGGATTTGCCCTTCGCTTGTTCATGCTTTCAGCACCTGTCACCTGGAGAAGTTGTGACTCCACATGCCCCTGGGCGGAGGCTTCACAGTTGGGCCACATTCTTCCTGCCACTCATGAGCGTTGATTTCCTCACTTCTTTCCAAACTCTCTTTTTCCTTTGAAGCAACCTGGCCAGCCACCACCACTGCCACACTCATTCGAAACAAACCCCGTCGTGAGGACTCCCCCTCATGGGTTTTTGAGCTGGTGGAAGAATGCAAATGTTTATTTCAGTTTCATGTATACAAGTGTACAAGAAAACAACGCCATGCATGCATTTCTGGGAGAAAGGGTTTCAATTGTGCTGTGGCTTAATCTTAGCAATACTCGTCTGATGTAAGATAAATTCCTCAAACTGGTTTTGGTAGAACTAATTTGAACTATAAGCTCTATCCAAAAGACACTTTCAAACTTTTGGATAAGATGTAATAGACTTTATTTACTTCTGGGCCAGGCGGGGCAGGAGGGAGGGAAGCTGAGGTATGTATAAGTTCCATACTTATAAAGAATGCAGCCGGAAAAAACCAACCAAAACAGAGACAAATTCTGTTTGTTCTTGTAACACCTCCTAAATATTAATGAATTAAATTAATTAAATATAAATAAATACCCCATTACAGCATTGTGGCCTGCTATTTGCTCTCTCTCTCTCTCTGTGTGTTAACTGGCATCCTTTAAATACAGGCATGTTAGGTAACCTGTGTCAGGAAACAGTATACTGTAAAGTATATCTAAGTACCAGAACACTTCTGTTTAATATAAACGCCGTGTGCTGTTAAAATATGCATGGGTTTACTATTTTTTTCTTCTGGCAACTCTGTAACGGTTGCCTATTATGCACAATTGAAACTTGTGAAACTTCCATGCCTGCCAGGCTTGAATTTCCAAGTTAGGGAAAACTGTGCGTGTCAGCAATGAGAGAGGGAGTGGGGGGAGTGGGAGAGGGAGAGAGGTCCTCAGGAGTGGAACAATCCCCCCTCACAAGAAGAGTGGCCCCTGGTCTTGGGAAGATGACCAACTACAGGTAATCCTTGACTTGCAACACTTCATTTAGTGACCATTCAAACCAGGGGTGGGTTCCACTTACTTTTACTACTGGTTTGCAATGAGATCGCTCTCGTGCGTTCGCCCAGGACAACATCCGGGGCGATGGGTGGAGCCTCCCACCGGTTTTACTACTGGTTCTTGTGAACCGGTCCGAACTGGGGGCAACCCACCACTGATTCAAACTTACAACGGCATTGAAAAAAGTGGCGTATCAATTGCAGCATCCCCATCCTCACGTGATCAAAATTCAGATGTGTGGCAACTGATTCATATTTATGATGATTGCAGTGTCCTGGGGTCATGTGATCACCTTTTGGGACCTTTTGACAAGCAAAGTCAGAATCCAGATTTACTTAAGGACTGTGTTACTAACTCAACAGGAGTTGGTAGGAGCCTTGGTAGTACAGTGGTTTAAAGCACCCTGTTATTAACACCAGCTGTCTGCAATTAAAGTAAGTTCGAATCTTGCCAGGCTCAAGGTTGACTCAGCCTTCCATCCTTTCTAAGGTAGGTAAATTGAGGACCCAGTTTGTGGGGGTAATAAGCTGACTCTGTATAAATATACAAAAGTATGAAGGCTATTGCTGAGCACATTGTAAGCCGCCCTGAGTCTCCGGAGAAGGGCGGCATATAAATCAAATTAAAAAAAAAAACACCTGTAGTGATTCACTTAACAACAGTGGCAAGAAAGGTTGTAACATAGAGGAAAAAATCACTTCACAACTGTTTTGCTTAGCAATAGGAATTTTGGACTCAGTTGTGATCATAAGCCTAAGACTACCTGTACTTCCTAAATACTTTATATGCTTTAATCCAGCCACCCCAACCCCGCCAACCTTTTGGGCACCAGGGACCTGTTCCATGGAGAAAGGTTTTTCCATGGACTGGAGGAGAGGGCATGGTTTTGTATGCTGCCTGAATTCCATGGATGGGGCTTCGCTTGTTTGCGTGGCCTGGTTGTTGGCATGTCATGGACCGGTGTTGGTCCATGGACCAGGGCTTAGGGACCTCTGCTTTAATCCATTCATCACCTGAATGGTTAAAAATGTCACCATAGGGCAAATCTTTCAAACAGACCAGTAGTCAAATCCTATGATAGCCCATTCCTTTTTATTCCAGGATAAGAAAGAAAGAATGAATGCTCTGACCATCACTTGGGTTGACATGGTACAAGCTCTCTACTGCTATGTAAATCAATGATCCTGACTGAGTGACGGGCAGATACTTCATACAATTGTGTCTAACTTTGCAGTCTCCAGATCTGTTGGATACAATCACCCTAATTTTAGGACATCATGAGCAGCGCTTCCAATTCTCCCGATGCATTGAATTGTATAGCTGTAATTCAGAATTTCTGGGAAGGGGGCAGGAACATTGCTGTAGCCAATTTTTTCAAGCTTGAGCTTCAATAGGCTTTTCTTCTACAGAACGGTAGATGAAACTCAGGGCAAGACCACACCTGTCAGCTATAAAGTATAGTCAGGATGACTATAGCTGTGCCTTAAGCCTTCCTGAAATTGAATTTGCATATTTCATAAGGGATTTATGCTGGGTAAACATTTTAATTAGAGCTATTCAACAAAACTCCAATATATTTTTTTGCTGTTCAGTCATAGTTCAGGCTCCATTTGCATATATGTGAAATTAGGACATTGTCCCAATTCTCCTGTCTTTATTCAAGGAATTATATTTGCCATACTACTGTTCATTTCTTCAATTTGGAGAATACATACTTTCTGTTATTTTTAATGCTTTTGTTTAAGAGTTAGCAATTCTGGAAGCACCCTAGGTTTCAATAAGCTTCAAAGTCATCAGCTGAACAAATGATTTGCTTGACTGCTGAAATTACCTGATTAAATTTTATTTTGCATGGGAATAGCCAAGTTCCCATTAAAAGCAAAAGTTGCACAGGCTTGTAAAATGGCTGATAAGCCAAAAAATATACATGAACCTTCCAAGCAAGAGAGTTTAAACTTCGGATAGTTCATTAAAAAAAAAAAAGTGCATTGAACTTTTCTTTTACAGGGATAAAAGATAAACATAACATAAAGAAAAGTTTATGATAAAAGATAAAAAGTGTAGAAAACAATACAACTTGAAGAAAACAGAAAATTAAAGAAGCAACTTCCAATCTTCTTAAAGCAGTTACAACCTTACTGCCATCCCTTCCTTCTTAACATTATAGAACATAATTCCCCTCTATCCCATATTCAACCCATTTTAATCAGCAAATCTAGAAATAATTTCTTTTTTGTCCCATTTTCAGCAAAAAGTCTATAAAAGGTTATTAGACTTTATAAAAGTGCTTATTGTTCTATCCCTGACTAAACAGGTTATTTTTGCCATGTCTACAAATCCAACCATCTTGACAATCCAAAACTCATTGCGGGACTCCAATATTTCTCTTTAGTTGTGCATGTAATAATCTTGCTGGAGTTAACATAAATAAAATCAGTCTTCCATGACTGGAAGACATTCTAATTGGCTATACTTAAGTCCCCTAAAAAAAGCTGATTTCATCTTTAGAATTCTTTGTATCATCATATGTATTTGTGTCCATTTTTTTTTCTTTTTCACAAGTCTACCATGTGTGGTAAATATCCCTTCATGGTTTTTCAAAATTTCCAACATTGATTAAACATAACTTTATATGTCCTTGATAATTTCTTTGGTGACATATACCAATGGTACATCAATTTATTATCTTTTAAATTATAAAAGAATGTGATTTTTCAGTCCTTTTAATCACATTCTTTCCCATTTGATCCATGTGTATATTATAATCAAAGTTCTTACCCCATTTTATTATGTAGTCTTTAATTTGCTCCTTTTCTGTTTAAAATGTCAACAAAAATGTATTTGTTATTAATCACATGTTCATCATTTGTACATTGTTCAATCTCAAATTCCATTTTATATTGTTCAATTCCTATTGCTTTTTATCACCAGTTAAATCTTTCTCTTAATTGTGCATATGAAAACCAGTGAAAACTATATCCCTCTGTAGTCAATTGTTCTCTTGGCCTTATTTTAAATTCTGTTCCTGTACTAACAAATCTTGATATGTTAACCATTTCTCTTTATCCACTGTTTGCTTTCTAAAAAAATACTTCTTGTGCTAAGACCAATAAATGTATTTTCGGGCACAAACTTATTTATATCTATTCCATATCCTTAGTATGGTACTTTCTACATAATTATTTTTAAAATCTATAACTCTGACTTTGTTGTATCTTTAAAAAAATCCCTATGCCATCCAAATCTTACTTTATGTTCTTCTAATTCTAACGTTCTCTTATTTCTCAGCAACACCCACTTTTTCATCTATACCAAACAACTTTCTGGTTTTGTTTTTTTTAACCTAACCATATAAATCTGGATATATCCTTCTGGCATTGCTTAAAAGGTACATCATTTTTCAAAACAGATATTGTTTTATATAAAAACATTCTAAATAATACATTCATATTTATCACAGAAATTTTTCCAAAAATTATAATTGTAACTTTTACCATTTTAATAAATCTTTCTTAATTTCATTCGGTACCTTGACATAATTATTTTGAAATAAGATACAGTTCATATTTGTCATAGTAATGGCAAAGTATCTCACTTTTATTATTTTACTTTTTTCTCAATTTGAAAACCAGCTTTTACTATCAATTCTTTTTGTTCTTCCTTCCTATTCTTTTGTTAAAATCTTCTTTATCTTTATGTCAAGAAATATTAACATGGTTTCTTTTTCATTATGATATTCCAAATATTCTAATGCATTAAAATATTTCTAATAGTTTTTTTTAATTGTCTTTTAGATAAAAAAACCTACACTGATCTTCATCTATAAAGTCTTGCCAGACACTTTTCATTCTTTCAGCTAAAATCAACATAAATATTTCATAATCTTTATTCAGTAAAGATATTGGTCAATAATTTTTTTTGGCAAAATTAGGACTTGACCTTCTTTTGGAATTAATGCTATATTTGCCACCTGTCCAACTTTCTGATATCCTCTCAATATTTAAAAGGAAATTTATATTTTTTTGAAGACGTAGCAATTTGTCTTCAAAATATTTGTAATAGGATAATTCATTTTCCATTACCTATAGTTAGATGGTATATAACTCTGTTGAAACAAATTAAAGCTATTAAAGGGATCCTTTTATTAAGCCAAGATCTACAAAATCGTTGCAAGTGTCTGAGTTCAGGAAAAAAACCCTGATAAGACAGTTAAAAATCCTAAAAACATAAAATATATGATGGAAGGAGATGAAAGAAGAAAATGGCTGGTATTTGAATTACATCCATTTTAATGCTTTTTAAGGTGAAGACAAGACCACGGAGACAAGTGCAAAATTCTTAGCAAGTCATGGCAATTTTGCTTAGGTAAGAAATGTGACATTTTACTCAGGTTAATGGAATGCTTGTTGCCCTTTTTAATAGAAAAATCTTTACCTACCTACCTACCCTTAAACGTTTTCATCTGAATTATTGGCATTGTGCTTTATGAGAGCAAGGGCAGAATCTTCACCAACTGTTAGGTTTGAAAACAAACATGATTGATTTGCGGCAGGAAAC